CTCAGTCTGTGTTCCACATGTTCTCAGTCTGTGTTCCACATGTTCTCGGTCTGTGTTCCACACGTTCTCGGTCTGTGTTCCACACGTTCTCAGTCTGTGTTCCACATGTTCTCAGTCTGTGTTCCACACGTTCTCAGTCTGTGTTCCACATGTTCTCTGTCTGTGTTCCACATGTTCTCAGTCTGTGTTCCACATGTTCTCTGTCTGTGTTCCACATGTTCTCGGTCTGTGTTCCACACGTTCTCGGTCTGTGTTCCTCACGTTCTCGGTCTGTGTTCCTCACGTTCTCGGTCTGTGTTCCACACGTTCTCAGTTGGTGTTCCACACGTTCTCCAGCATGAGCTGGGATGACGTGTTGTTGGATCCATTTTACGTTATTGATGGCGTTCTGATAAATTGAATTATAACGTTCCATTTGAATTCTCTCCGTGTATTAGAGTTTGTGGCTAACTGTGCTCCGGTGCATATTTCCTTCCACGTGTCCTCTGCTTTCACCTCCTTCATTTTATGTTTATGGAGTCACGTATATTCTTAGAGAACATTAATTTTATTTTCAACAGTCGACTTTTCTCGAGTCCTTTGAGTTCAAGGTGGAAAAAATGCAGATAAAATTGTTCATTTTGGCCTTAAAAATGGAGTTTATTTTAAAATGCAGAGTGTGGCAGAGCAGGGCCAAGCAGATGCATAAAAGCCAACCAGATGTGCTTTGTCAACTAAACTGTGATCCATGTTGAAGATGGAACTGCTGGAACCCTAATGGGAAACTGCATTTATTCTTAACTTGAACCTTCCTGCATTGTATTTTTTTTGTCTCTTCAGCCTCACCCCGTCTCCTCTTTGCCAACCGACGTGATGTCCGGTTGGTAGATGCGGACATCGTGCGGGGCGAGTCCGCCGTTGTTGTCGGCGACCAGGAAGACGCAGCGGCCGTGGACTTCCTGTTTAACCAAAGCCTGATATTTTGGACCGACGTCAGCGAGGAGGTCATCAAGCAAACACGCTGGAATCAGTCATCCAACTGTAAGGCTGCGCGTTGTTTCCTCTAAATAAAATGATTTAAACCCACAGGCTGTAAAATCAGTTTTATTAAAGCTGGTCGTGCTTTTAAAAGATCGATCCGTTTGTCTCTTAACTTGAGTGTGTGTTGTGTTCTGTAGCTCTGAAAGAGGCTCTGGGAACGGGTCAAACTGTAGTCGTGTCGGGGCTGAACAGTCCTGACGGACTAGCCTGTGACTGGTTGGGTAGGAAGCTCTACTGGACGGATTCAGACAGCAATCGAATCGAAGTGGCGAACCTTGATGGCACCTTCAGAAAAGTCCTGTTCTGGATGGACCTGGACCAACCCAGGGCTATCGCCCTTAATCCAGGCCATGGGTAAGAAAACACACCAACACTGAGATGCTGTTCAAAATGTTTTTGTTTTTCTGTGGACATTTATTTATGCAACTCTTATTTATTATTGGCCAGAGCCGAAGGCAAAAGGACAAATTGTTTTTTGTTTGTGTGTATTTATTTGTCTGGACTTAACTTTTGGAGTCAACCCAATTCAAGATGGCTGCTTTGCTAGAAGACCTAACCTAGGTGGACTTCACCATGAGGGCCACCTGGGCCTAAGCTCCGGGGCCACTGATCATACCTGCAAACTAGTCGCTTTTGGGCAAAATTAGCTGATTTCAAACTAAAATGTCATTTACGTGAATCGTGTAGATACAAAGTTTTTGTTTTGGGTGGAGGGGGTGGAGAGGTGGATGGCATCATCATCTCCCCTTAAGAAACATCGTTCCTCCTCCGTCACTTGACTTGGCAGCGCTCCTCTCTTCTGGGGTTTTTGTCGACGGGGCGGAGGGAGGAGGGGGAGACACCTCTGTGTTGCATGCTAGCTTACTGCTATGTTAGTGACGTCAGTTGTTGACCGGCGGGGTGGGGGTGGGGGGTTAGGATGAGCGAGAAAAGCTAAACGCGTAGCATCTTAGCTAGCACATCTGTATTGTGCGCGGCGATATTTTACCGTAAGATTTGAAAAGTCCCCCTGCTGGTCCAGATGATTTTCTGCCCAGATGACCTGACTGAACAATGTTGGATTGTATACCTGGATTGTTGAGCATGGACTTTGTTCCACCTGCTGGTGTTCTAGAGAACACCTGGAAGGAGAAAGAAGCCAGGTACCAAGTTGTCTGGAAAGTAAAACTGGTTAAAGCGACGAGGAATGAACAGTGGGGATGAAAACAACGGGCGGAGGAGGTGGATGTCGTTCCAAGTGGATTGTGAAGGGAAGGAGAATAAAAGTTATGGAGTGTAGAAACTGTGGTTCCAAGGAACCTGTAAATTATGTAGTTTTAATAATTACATGCAGGTTGACACTGTTTTTTGTTTTGTGCCACTTGCTCGGCTCAGTGTAACTTTGTGCTGTGAAGCTGCATGATGCCAGATCAAAATTCACTGCTGGTGGTTGTTGGTGTTCACTGGGAAACTTAATATTCTTATTCTAGGTTTGTCACTTTCATCCCTTCTGACTTTGCAGGTATGACTCATGCAAAGAGGAGACCCTTAGTAATATAAGTAGGAAAAATAATAATTGTGACAGCGATGATGATGATGATGATATAATAATAATAATAACAACAATAACAATAATAATAATAATGATAATAATTTTGACAACAACAAGGATGTTATGAAACTGATATGAGATATACCAGGTATACGATACCGTCATGATACCATTATGAGACGGACACGAGACAGTTATGAGACGGACACGAGACAGTTATGAGACGGACACGAGACAGTTATGAGACGGACACGAGACGGACACGAGACGGACACGAGACGGACACGAGACGGACACGAGACAGTTATGAGACAGTTATGAGACGGGGGTGGGACTCCACAGAGCAGAGCTTCCTGCTGTTTGTGTAATGACTTGTAGAAAGAACAAACTCCTCAGCTCAGTGATGGAGTGAAGAACTCCTCTTCTTCTTCTTCTTCTGGTGGTGCATCGCCCAGTCACCCCACATCCACATGTGCTTTGACCAGTCGTCTGTTTTTACTCCAGTGGAGTTTTGGATGTGGATGGTTTCCTGTAATAGTTTTAAGGTCAGCAGCAGTAATAGAAGACCTTCTGTCAGATGATCTCTACTTACCACTTGCGTTACGTTCTGCAAGTTCTGGTTCGGTTCTACTCAATTAAATCAAATCTGCAGTGTATGGATATCAAAAATATTATCTCCTTTTGAAACTTTTATGTTTTAAATAAATGGGGGATTTAATTTCCAGAATGTTCATCTCAAGGTCACATGATCTACAAGGTCAACTTCAAAGTTATAGGAAAAGTCAAAAGGTCAGTGGACCCTAATGATCAATAAAGTCGAGGCAGTTTTCAAATCCTAATCCAAGTCCCTTTCCAATGACATCAGGTTTGTGAACACTCACCCACCAGTTCCTGAGATGTTTATAGGTGGCCGAGCTCATTTTTGCAGAAAATCTGAAAATGTATGAGCTCTTCTATCTGAACCTTGAAATACTCTGCTGTGGGATCATAACTGGAAACATGTCGGCTTTCATCAAAATCTGAGACCACTGAGTTTAAATCTTTTGTGTGTGTTATTTGGCACAGTTGGACTCGATTTTGTAATCTGCAAACTTCTGCTTTTTCCCCTCCTCCAGATACATGTACTGGACAGACTGGGGAGAGGAGCCCCGGATAGAGAGTGCGGGCATGGACGGCAGCGTCAGGTACATCACCTGTTCAGGTTCTGCGTCAGGTTACATTATGGATGCATAATACGAAGCTCGTCCTGAGCTGGTTCTGCTGGAGGTTTCTTCCTGTCAAAGGGAGTTTTTCCTTTCCACAGTCTCCTTTGTGCTCACTCAGGATGGGAGACTGTGACAAAAAACTTTTACTAATTGTCTTTTTTATGTCTGAGAGTGTTTTTGTTCAGTGCCCTGAGACGACTTCTGTTTGACTTGGAGCTACAGAAATAAATTGACTTCAGTTGTTTAAAGACGTCTCATTTAATTCAACAAAGTCCATGCGCAATAATCCAGGTATAAATCCAACAATGTTCAGTCAGGTCAGCTGGGCGGTTTCTTTTCTTACTGAGACGTTCGTCCTTCATCCAAAGGACTTCTTGAATCTGAGAAGCCACCAAACCATTAAACTTTAAGTGTAGAACCACTAGACTGAGGAGCAGCTTCTACCCTGAGGCTGTTAGACTCATGAATATCTAACCAGGATAATCACTGTGAAAAATCACATCATGTTGCTGCTGATCTGTTTCATGCTGCTGCTGATCCGTTTCATGCTGCTGCTGATCTGTTTCATGTTGATGTGTTCATGCGTGCTCATCTGCTCACACAGACTCATGTTCGTGCTGCTGTTCAACGTAATGTTTATGTTATGAGTGCTTAGTGTATATTTAGTTGATGTTTTTCTTAGTTCATATCTTAGATGTTATTACTGTTTTTCTTAGACATTTTATTCTTGGATATAACTGGGACCCTGTGAACATAATGTCGTTCCACCACATGTACCACATGAGGTGGAACGACATTAAAGAATCTCTGGCTCTCTGAACCAAACTGATGTGCTGGTTGTGGGATTCAGTTTGGTTCGGTGGCTCCTCAGATTGAAGAAGTCCTTTGGATGACGGCTGAAACATCTCGGCAACAAAAGAAATCGTCCAGATGACCTGACTGAACATTGTTGGATCTGATTTAATTATTTAAATGAATAATTCTATGACCTGTCACAAACGGTGTGGGCAGCTGAGGCTCAGGAAGGAAGAGCTGTTGGCCGCCAGTTAAAGCGTTGGTGGTTGTAGCTGGTTTCCTTGACTACATGCTGAAGTGTCCTTGGGCAAGACGCTGAACACCAAGTTCAAGAGGACCAGCATCCTTGTTTCACGCAGGACGTGTATTGGAGCATCTCGGGCAGCTTAAAAGATTGAAATGCCACACATTCCAGTTTTGACCTGACAAATCTGTGCGTATGGGAAATGAAATGTTTTCAACTGCAGAACAGAAGTCTAGTTGCTGTCCAGTTGGCTTTTTGTCACACATGCACAGTTTAGTGAAACTGCAGTGGAATATTAGAATATTTTCTCACAATACTGAGTCCAGTTTGAGTCGCCAGCTAGTCTCCATCGGTCGCAGCTCATTGGGATACTTGCTCAAGGTTTTGTTAAGCCCACATGGAGAAAGTAAGACATTATGGGCTAACAGAAGCTCAGTTTGTGTCCCAAGTCTATTTACCTGTGTCTCCTAACAGGAAAGTGATCGTGAAGGAGGACATCCACTGGCCCAACGGACTCACGATAGACCTGGCGGAACAGAAGTTGTACTGGGCCGATGCCAAACTGAGCTTCATCCACAGAGCTAACCTGGATGGATCAGCACGGTACGGTGCAGTGCCCGCGTGTGAAAAACTGAGTGCGTAACAAAACAAGCGCCTGTTTTAAGTGTCAACAGACGACAGCAGGAAGGTACGAGGTTTGTTCAAGCAGCTGCTTTATTTTGAAGGCTTCAGCTGGTGCGCTAACTTCCTGGATTTTTAATTGGCACTTAAATGTTACCTGGTGTTTCTGGGTCAAAGTCTAGAGGTAGTTCTCTTAAAGTCTTTAACTGGTTCTTGTTTGTTCAGGAAAGACGTTAGTCTACAAGATAATCTTGAAGTACTGGTAATTCTTTTAAATAATCCCGTATTGTCTGTTAGGCTGTTTAAAGACTTCCACTTTTTGCACGACATCATGTCATATCACACAATCTTGTGAAATATTTGAGCATTTATGTGTTTTTAAATGACTTTCAGCTGCGAACTCATCAAACTTGATCTCAATATTTGCAACGCTAACAAAGACGAGGTTCCCAGCTCCTCTGGAAATCTAAACTTCAGACTTTCTGTTGTCACGAAACTTTTCTTTCAACTTCCAGGGAAGAAGTGGTGGAGGGCACCCTGACCCATCCTTTTGCACTAACTCTGTCCAAGGAGACGCTGTACTGGACCGACTGGCAGACTCACTCCATACACGCCTGTAACAAACACAGCGGAGACAAAACCAGAGAGATCCTCAGTGGGATTTATTCTCCGATGGACATCCAGGTTCTGGAGTCCTACCGGCAGCCTTACAGTAAGTGCAGTATTAGACCTGTGTCCGCACTTCTGCAGGGTTTTAAAAAGCCTTGCATGTGTCCAGATTTAGCTTTTGAAACACGTTTAGTTATATTTGTACCTTTGATCAACATTGTCCTTGAACTTTAGGACAGTACATGCTTCTTAGGGGAAAGGTCAACCATCTTGCATACCTGGAGGTGGAGTAATGTCAGTGTTGCGTGCTAGCTTAGCGCTACGTTGTGCCAGCAGGTGTTGACCAGGGTGGGGGGTGTTTTGGGTAAAGGACATTTCGGTCGGCAGTGCGCTCGGTTCTGCTGTCGACAGGCTGTGCGCTCTCCTTGGATCACGGTAGGGGAAACACTGGTGACCTTCAAACGCCTTAATGTGGACATGCATCTTTCAGGAGCTGCTGGCTGATATGTTCCAGGAGATTTTTATCTTCATGCTTAATCTAATCGTACTCAGTTTTTGTCCTTCGTTACGAAGAAGGAAAATTGTAAATAACAACTTCGTCCGTCCGTCTGTGCATGTTATGAGCTGGACAGCTTGAAAAATAAGTGAGATACTGACTGCCATTTTGGTGTGTCTCTACATCTAGGCATAAGAAGGGTTCTTTTCAAAAACTGGGTTGCCACATCAAAATCCAAGATGGCTACCACTGTATGTTAACCTTGTGACCTGAGTAACTTAGAAAAAAGGCCATTTGCTAACTTCCATGTTGGTTTGTGGCTGCTACTAGGTGTAAAAATGGTCCCTATCAAAAATTTGATGCCATGTCTTGTCCAAATCCAAGATGGCTGCCACTATATATATTTATGTAAACTGGCCACCCCAATCATTTGAGGAAACTATACTTTCCAGTTTTTATCTTGCTTAAAAGAATGGTTTCCTCAAATGATTGGGGTGGCTCAAGGGATTTCCAAAAATTAATCTATGCTGGCCAAGGCCACCATTGGCCACCCCCTGGTTCCTCCACTGCACCTGGTGGTTGATAAAAATGCTCCTCCACTCACCAGGATCTCTGCTCTGCCTCAGATGAGCAAAAAATAACAGTTTTTCCACAGAGTGCAACTCCTACCCACCTAAATATCCTGCAGTAAAAACATTAAGGTTTTCTTCATTCCCTGTTCACTTCCAGTCCAGAAAAACACTCATCTCCAAAACTACAAACATTCACTGTTCAAATCCGTCTGCAGCGGGGGACGTCGGCGTACCGCTTGTCAACTGTTGTGTTTCTTTGTGTTTGTGTCCCGACAGTCAAGACTCCCTGCAGCGACAAGAACGGAGGCTGCAGTCACCTCTGCCTCCTGTCTCCTCTTCAGCCCTTCTACAGCTGTGCCTGCCCCACGGGAGTCCAGCTTAATCCAGACGGAAAGACATGCAAACCAGGTAACCAGGGGCTGTGAGCAGAACAGTTTTGAAGCAGTTAGTTCAACTTGGTACTTACCATAATTTACAGACTAGAAGTCACTACTTTTTCCACAGGCTTTGAACACCGCAGCTTATCTAATGCTGCAGCTAAATGATTTATTTTAACGGGCTAACGAGCTTCATGCCGCCACAAAATGTAGCCTCGTCCCACCCGGGTGCTCACATAGCTGCCTATACAAGTCTCTCTTGGGGGACGGGTCCTTGTGTCTCAGTAGCTGTGTTTACATGGACATAATTAATCTGATTAAACGGCCGTTTGGAATAACAATGCGTTATGTAAACGCCCCATTCAGATTATTCTTTGTTGATTCAGCTCGATCTGAAAGGATTTATAATCAGAACGAGATGAGTGGAGTATGGCGATAAATAATCTGGACGGCGTGCATGTAAACACTTAATCTGCTCATTTTTTTCCCAGATTGTGGAAAACAGTCCTGACTGCACATGTGCGACCTGTCAACCTCATGTATTTCCACCTGGCTAATGCTAATAATATTAGCATGCCGGGGAAGTAAACTGGTCGGTGAGCGACGACATTTCTTCTAGAAACTTAGAACGAGCTCAGAATGATGTGCATGACCTGCAGCTCAGTCAGGGAGCGCAGCAACGTCTCCACCATCAGTAAAACCTGCCGCAGGTCCATTTTGGTGCTCAGCTTGTTTACGTTCATCCAGGAAGTAAACCGGAAGTAGAACTTCTTCTTCTGTGTTTTTTGTAAGGAGAGTTTACTGCACATGTCAGTACTTCTGTTCAGAACAACGCCCGCTGCAGGTAACGCTCATCATGAGCAGATTGTGCCCGTGTAAACGATACATTTGAATTATTTAATCTGAAAATGACTCTAAATTGTCCCTAGGTGTGAGTGAGAGAGTGAATGGTTGTCTATGTGTCCTGTGATGGACTTGCTACCCGTCCAGTGTGTCCCCCGCCCCTCGCAGTGACTGCTGGACATGGGCACCAGCGACCCCCGTGACCCAAAAATGGAAGAAGCGGGTAAAGATAATGGATGGATAATCTGAAAACGTTTCAATCCGGTGAAAGAATTTTGCGCATGTAAACATGGACTGTCTGTATAAATAAAGATTTAAAAATGAAATTACCGAGCAGGTCACGGCGACGTTTCATTGGTACAGGCCACCAACTCATGAAGGACAAAACAACTAGAAAGTTCCTGGAGAGACTTTGACGAGGACTGCCAGGCTGCTGCCAGTTGAAATGGTTGATCTGACAGTACTTTGTGTTTGGGTTCGCTCTCAGCCACCACGAAACCAAATTGAAGCTGAATAGCTCTAAAAGTGCCCGATTTATCAGACTTTGTCCTTTATAACTAAGGCGGCCATCTTGGATTTTAGATTTGGATTCAGTACGTGATGGGAAACGTTCTCAGCTGTAAGTACACCAAATTTCAACTCCAACGTTAAAACTGGCTGATTTATAGTATTTATCCTTTTTTGCTAAGGCGGCCATCTTGGATTTTAGATTTTCAGTCAGTCTATTAAGCCCCCAGTATACTGCTGCGTACGTCCATACGCAGAGATACGCACATACGTACGCACGCAGAGGTACGAGCGTACCCCCCAGGGCATGTCCGTGCAAAGCTCAAATTTTTACGACCGCGTACGCGGTGTCGCACAATAAACTGCCCGGCGACGGACTGTTTTGTATGCAACACCAACGTATTAAATTCCTCTTCTTCATCCCTGATCTGACCGTTTCTTTAGTTTTGTTGCCAAGAGGCAGAGATCTCTTCCTCCTCCGTTGACTTCATGACTGAAATGGTGAGAAATGGAGGAATTTGTCACGAGCGAATTAAACTCAGGTCCAGCAAATGACCAATCGGCGACCTTGATTTGTCCCGAAGGTCAACGCTCCTCGTCTGTGAAGCTGCTCTGCAGCTGCTCGGGGTGGACGCTGGAGTACGAAGTCACAGTAAAACAGATGAACAAACACTTGCTGTGGAAACACGAAGGTCTTTTCAAGACAGCCGGTCGTTTTGATAGAACATTTGTGGGGTAACAAATTAATATTGGGGCAACATTGTGGTTCAGGCCACATTAAAGTTGATAGAAGAGCAAGATCTAACCAGGTGGATAATAACAGGGCTGCCTTAATAGGCAGACTCCAACTATAATGTAAATAGTTTTTCTTAGAGTTAATGTAAAATGGGATTGGCTGTCATTTACAACGCATACTTCTCAACTCTCATTTTTCTCAGGCAAGTCTCTTGTAAACGAGTCCTCGAGTCTCACTGACACTAACCTGTAGAAATAAAGGTTGAATGAATGAATGAATTTATCACAAAAGTTTCTAAGTTTGACCAAATTAACTATAACGCCATCATTTCTCTTCATTTTGTTTCATCTTCTTTTAAAACTCTGGGGTAAAAGGCAACGGGTTTTAATTTCAACAGGTTTTTGTAAAGGCCATAGAACCCTGTGGAAACTAATTCACAAGTCATCCAGTGACGTCGCTCTGCTGGCTAGTCAACGGCTGCTGTCTGCTTAGGTCAATATCGTTATCAATCAAGACAAGGTTCACTTGGAACCTCAAACAGGTGGTCCTATAAACCGGGCTGAGTGGGGGTGGGCAGGCCTTTCACTGGTGCTGTGGAACCGATGGGAGTTGAGACAGTGGCAAAGCACCATTAGACTTCATACAAGTTGTCCTAAAGATCAACATGGATTTTCCCTTCACGATGACTCAATGTGTCGTTGTTTAGGTGCAGAGGAGGTTCTGTTGCTGGCTCGAAGGACGGACCTGAGGAGAATCTCACTTGACCTGCCAGATTTTACTGACATAGTTCTGGAGGTAACCCCCCCCAAACACACGCAGATCAAACTGGTTTCATCCGAGGGAAGATCTCTAATGTTTGTTTCTTTTCCTCTACTCATGCAGGTTGGTGACATCCGCCATGCCATAGCCATAGACTACGACCCAGTTGAAGGTTTTGTCTATTGGACAGACGATGAGGTGCAGGCCATCCGGAGATCTCGCATTGATGGGAAGAATGCCGTGGTTTTGATTTCCACAGAACTCAAACACCCTGATGGTATTGCTGTTGACTGGGTGGCCCGAAACCTTTACTGGACGGACACTGGCACCGATCGAATTGAGGTATATCTATGTTTTTGCTCATTTCAGGGGTTGTTTGTCTGTTAGCAAAATATCTCATTAAACCACTTGAGTTTAATAAAACTCAGAAAGTAATCAACCATTTACAACTGGTTAACTTTGAGTCATCCCAGTGTCGGGAGATTGAATGAATGTGTTGATCATTGGTGACTGAGTTTATCACTGTAGTTTTTGTTTGTCTCCTGTCGTTGAGCAAAGAGGAGACATGGAAATACTCCACGTCTGTCCGTTTCATCTCGAGCTGATAACGTTGGCTGCACGATGGCTTAGTGGTTAGCACTGTTGCTAGTCCCTCAGCGATTGGGGACATCAGCAAACCGCCTGCATTGCTCAGCAAAAACCTGCGTAATTCATTTCTTTGGTTATATTTTTTCCAGTCAATGCGAAAAAACAAATGTTAAAAGAATTGTAAAAAATCAAGACATTGCAAACTTTCATAATGGTAGCTGTACAAGTCAAGAAGTGGGAAAGAAGAAAGTGTTGTGTGCAGCAAGTTCTATGTTAGAAGTTAAGCAATTGTTTGTTCTCCGAGTGCTCAAGCTGCCAATTACACCTAATGTCTGAATGAATGATTTATACGCTCCTCGAAGGCACATGGATTATAATATAGTCTCTATGTCCGTAATCCTTCTGATCCACTTAAGATAATTTCACAAAACTTCATACACTTATGCATCGTCACTAACCAGCGAGTCACATAATCTTTTCATCACCTGAGCTCTGAAGTCAAGGTCACAAATCAAGGTCACTTTAGTGGTGGTAGTTGTCAATGGGGGGTTGGTTAGCTAGTGTTACATTTGAATTGCACCTGGAAGGTGGGTTTGGTTACGTTAGCGCTTCGTTTGTATTGCTCTGTAAATAAAATGGTATGGTACCGTGCGCAGGAGGTGGGGGTTGGTTACGTTAGCGCTACATCTGTTTTGCTCGTAGTTGGAGTCTGAGCTGCGCTGCTAAACTTCGCTCCCCGTCTGGAAGTGGAGGAGCTGCACGTGTGGGGGCGGGTGTTATTTGGTTGGAGGGATGGTGGGGAAACGCTGCTACAGGTTGTTGACAGGTGTAAAATGTGCGATACTCGTAATTTTGTTGTTTTTGATGAAGACTCTCAGTCATCCAGGACGCGGTAAATTCAGAAAAGTTCCAGACAAAGTTGTTTTTGTTTTGAAGTTTTTAAATTTTTTCCTGACACGTCAACCAAACCCGGTGCTGTTTGTCCATTCATACCTTTTAACTTGTGTGAACAACTTCCCTCCTTCATGAACAGTATAAAATGTTTTAAGAGCAATAAAAACATTGTTTTCACTTATTTACATGTCATGTGATATTACAGGTCACCAGGCTAAATGGAACATCTCGGAAGATTTTGATTTCGGAGAACCTGGATGAACCCAGAGCCATCGTTTTGGATCCTGTGAACGGGTTGGTGTCGTGCAGCAGCACAGCTCTTAATAAAGATGTTTTTTTTTTTTCTGAGCATTTTTTGGCAAAGGGAAATTTACAAACAGTATTTAGATTTAATTATATATACTGTATGTATGTATGTGTGTGTGTGTGTGTGTGTGTGTGTGTGTGTGTGTGTGTGT